TCTATTGACCGGGGATGTTGTGAATCTTGGTGTGAGCAGTTGGCTTCTTGTTTCAGGCAGTCGTCCAATTGGACATCGCGCTGTACGCAAATGTGGAGGTGCGAAAGCCCTCGCAAAAAGCTTTATCTTAACACAACAGAGTCGCTGTTTTTGGGCAGTATCCAAGTGAAACATTGCTGGGCAAGGAATTTTACTGCCATTAAGCTAACAACAGTGATCGAAGTAAGTGGATTTGACTCTAGTGCAACAGTGCCTAATGTTTACTAGTGTTCCTTTCACTCTTTACAAAGCCTTTTCATAAACTTTGTAACTCATTAATTTATTTATTCCTTTAAGAGTACTACGGTTACAATATGATATATGTTAACCGCCTCATTCCTACTCGAATTTTTTTTAAAATTTAACCTTCTCAGTTTCCAACCAAGAAACTTGCCGACACCATCCTCAAAGAAGTGATAAATTCCTTTGGATATGAAGCAAATCAAGAACAGATTGAACGTGCTCTTCTCTCCGTTACTGATTTGGAGGAGTTCATCGGGAAATATTCACAATATCATCTTAATGAAACCGCACCTAAGATTTACATTCGTTCTGAACATGCAGGTGAGTAAATCTTAAACAAAAAAAATGATTTGGGAGTTTTTTTTATTTCTACTACGGAGTTCAGGATAAGAAATAATGCATTTTTCGTTGAAGATTTGAGAAATAATCCTCTAGGGTAATACTTGCTTTAAACTATTTGATTTTGGGTGCAAGCTTTGTCACCATCAACCCTTCATCGAGTCCTGTTGGCGACAGGTATCAAATCTCCCTTAAAGGTTGTTCATACCAGCAAATTCCTATCCCGCACCAATTGTCTCAAAGAAATCTTTCAATTGTCGTAACAGAATGTATTATAAAGTAATAAAGGATAATAAAAAATTAAAAACACTTTGAATCAGTTGCGATATATGTTTTTTGATTGAAAAAATGATCACCCACACTTTATCCGAAATTCGAATTGAGAACGCTCCTTTGACTGATGATCATTCCAAAGAGCTTACACTGATTTCCTCTAAGTGATAGTTTTCAGCCCTTCTAGGCCTAAATATTTTGAGAACGGTAACTTGTGACTAATACGAAAGCATCTTTATTTATTTTGGCGTGCACTTAAAATAAGTCTTTTCCTTTTTTTAGATATTTTGGTCAGGAAGATTTTTAACGAAAATGAGAGTGATGTCCAGCTTGGTGATGATAAAGGAGAAAACCTCCTCAGCCTTCCCACTGCAGGCTTGGATAACGGTTGGAGAGTTATATATTTGGGT